CAGGGCCCACAGCAGCAGACGGTCCTGGCTTCCCCACAGAACCCCTTCATCCTGAGGCCCCAGCAGGACCCGAGGAGCTGTAGCCTTGGGGACTTCCCAGAGGCACCACCTGGGGTCCAGTTCACACATCAGCTGCAGGAAGCTCCCTCAGGAAGTGCAAGTCAGAAGCTCCCCACACACCCCCAGGCTTGGCATTCCCTCAGCCTGATGCTGTCCGGTCCCAGGACAGCAGCCCTGGACTCAGCACACATACCAGCCCTGGGGGATGCAGGGGGACACAGGAATCCCAGGTACGAAGCCAGGGAATGAAACAGGTTACAGGTTTCCACGGGAGCCAACATCCCAGCCAGGCCTGAGCACTGGGCAGGAGCCAGCTCCACCAGAAACTGCCAGAGTCACAACCTCCACCATCACTACATCCGTTCAGATCTGAGCTGGGGCTCCCCGTGTCTTGTCCTAAGCCAGGCTGGAATGCACCCGGAGTGGATGGCATTCTCCCTCCGGCATGCTGGAGCTGTGGCCCTCGCCCCACCTGGCCCCCAGCCAGGCGTGCACAGGATTCCTGGATGTGCGACGGCCCCAGCAGCGCTCAGCCTGGCCTGGCAGGTCCCAGGGGCCTCAGACGTCGCCTCATTTAGATGTGACCCAGGTCAAAGGGCTCTTCAGGACACTCAGGTCCCACCCTTGATTTCCAGCTCCCTGCGGGGCTCTGGCCCCTGAGAAGGATGGGGGCGTGTGGTGCTGTGGCCGTGTGGCCCTGGCTTTCTGGGACAGCAGATCTGGAGGCAGATGTCTGTGCCGGGCCTCAGCTGCTTCTGCTGGTGTCACAGGGGAGTCCAGGCTGAGAGATCGGTGCTGCCTGCATTTCCTCCCCTGCCAGGACTGTCTCATCTGGAAAGTCAGCACAGGTGAACAAAAATGACGGCCAAGCTTTTCCGTGGGCTGGGAGCACCCCCAGAGAAAGGGGCGCCCCTCGAAGACCTGTGCCACCGCCTGGCCCTGGGCAGCCAGGTGAATGTCCTTCACCTTGGAGACCCTGTAGGCCTTTGTGGCCACTTCCACTATCATCCGGGGTCCCTTCGCCAGCCAGGAAAGAGGCAGCAGGGCTGAGCCCATTTCCAAGGCAGAAACTGAGGAAACAGGAAGGCAAGGGTCTCTGCGTCCAGTCTGGAGAGGCCAGAGTGCAGGGCCAGGATGGGGCTGAGGCGCCCAATGCCTGCCTAGAAGAGGCTGAGTGACAGTGAGCTTGGCAGTCAGGCCCAGGCCAAAAGGTGGAACTAGAAGGACTGCCCAGTGCCAAGGGTTAGGCAGACACAGGCCGCTCCTGGCTGCTGCGGAGGTGAAGGCAGCACAGGACTTTAAGCGCCCACAGAAAGTTCTATAAGCAGCCAGGGGGCTCTCCAGCCGACCTCTCAGGCTCGGTCTCTAGCCACATTCATGGAGAAGCAAAGCAGGATCCAAACAAGTGCCAGGCGACACCGCCAGGAGCGTCCTCTCTGCACACGGGACGCGTGGCGCATGCTGACACCTACACATATATGTGCACTTTTTCCATCGTCCTCCTGGGGTGCATTTAACCTTCCAGAGAGAGGTGAAGACTCCAAATATTAAAAAGGAAGCAAGAGGAAGGAAGCAGGTTGAAGAGAAAACAGTGAAAAGTGGAATGTGATGAGGTTAGCAATGTCTCAGCATTGTAGAAAAGCCAGCTACAGTACTGCCTCTGAGCTTCCCAGTAGCCAGAGTCAAGAAGGAAACCATATTTAGGCAATTCACAAGGAAAGACAAATGGGATATGGAGAGGAGTCCCCATCCCGAGACCTCCGACATTTCTCCCTTGGAGCTGCTCTGCACTCCCTCGCCGTTTCTACAGCATGGCACAGTGTTAGCAACACTCTGGGTGCTGTTCACACGTACCCACATTTCACAGAGTTTCAAAAGGCAGTGTTCACGCATTCAGTGCCGATGTTCTATGAATGCCCCAGCATCTCGGAAGAGCTGTCTTATTTCTCTTTCCTTACAAAAGAGGCCACAGCCTGGCAAGGCACAGGAGCAGGTATTGCTCTGAAGTTCCTTTCTTCTCCTGGAGAGCAGGTCCCCCCAACACTGGGGTCTCTCAGTGAGCCCCGATCTCCCAGGCCTCTCTCCAGGAGGGTGTGGGCCAGTGCTGTGTGCGTAACCGTGTCCTGACCTTTGTCCCCTGGGCTTCTTCCTTCTCTGCCAGTGGCAACTCCTGTTTTCCTCCTGCTTCTCCTCGGATGAGGACTCCGAATCGCAAATGCCAGTGGTCTGAGTGTTCAGACACAGGGCTGTGGTTTTGGGCAGAACACCCACGCTACGGTTATACGGAAATGGGATGTTGGGACTGCATCTCGTCACAAAGCCTGGAGATTTCTCGTGAGTAGACGGGGCCATGTCAGACACAGAGGAGAAGGCCATAAAGATCTAGGAAGTGACCAGGTGCCATGGATAACACCTGTAATTGCAGCACTTCAAGAGGCTGAGGCAGGCGGATCACCTGAGGTCAGGAGTTTGAGACCAGCCTGGCCAACGTGGTGAAACCCGGTCTCTACTAAAAATACAAAAATCAGCTGGGCATGGTGGTGCACGCCTGTAGTCCCAGCTACTCCAGAGGCTGAGGCAGGAAAATCACTTGAACCTGGGAGGCAGAGGTTGCAGTGAGCCCAGATGGTGCCACTGCACTCCAACCTGGGCAACAGAGCAAGACTCTGTCTCAAAAAAATAAAAATCTAGGAAGCCGGTATGCAGGGTCCCTAGTGCTGTCCCCTGGTGCCACTCCCCCAAGCCATCCATGGAGCTGCCTTGGAGGGCGCAGACGTCAGTTTCATCCAGGGTCTGTCCTGTAGAGAACTCCTTTCACCTGCAAAGTCCTTGGTTCACGGGGCCGATGTCCCCGCTGGTTCCCGCCTGGCCGCTCAGATGTTGGTGCTCCATTCAACCTCAAAGCAGCTTCAACGCTTGCCTAGGATGTCCCCAAAGCTGCGTGCCGGTACTTTTTTTAAACTGCACCACTGCGTTTAATCCCGAAGACACCACAAACCCTCCTGTTGCTGTTCCGTTGCATTAGTCTTATTAGGAATTTGCTTTGAGAGAATAAAGGGGCTTATTTGTGTGTTTGTGCTCAACTCCCAGCCGTCACGGGGCTGTCGTTTTTGTCTTTGTCAGTGACAATCAGGTGTCAGAAATGATTGATCTGCTAAATTATTGCTGATTTTAATTTGTTTACCATTGGGCAAACGGTACCATAAAAGCAGTTTGGAATTTTCCTGCCACTTGAGAAAACGATGTAATGATCCCATCCTTAGAGGGGGCTAGGTCCGGGAAGCCACAGCGGACCCTTGCCTGGGTTGCCCCCGTCCGTCAGAGGAGCCACTGGGGGGGCCTGGGGTCTGGAAGTCTCATCACTCTCTTGAACCAGACAGGGTGGAAATGCCGGGTGTCATCACATTTAAAAACATTTTCACATGAAACCCACAGGTGGGAGGTGCCAGTGCTGGGAAGACATCTAAAGTGAACTATTTGAGATGAGGGAACAGACACGTTATTTATTTTTTCAAGGCAGGCAACAGTAAAAGGCAAACGCGGGGGGAAAACACGTTATCTAATGTCACAGTGAGTTGCTTTTTTTGGTTTCTCAAATGAATAGTAATTAAATCATGTAAGCTGAGACAACAAAATGGCTTGAAAAACCAATCCTCCCACCATAATTGCTTAGATACCCACATTTTTATAAATACTAGGTAACTTTACCCATGGCTTTTATCAGCAGAGTGCGACACAGGCTGTGGGTGCGTCGTAATTCACCACGGCGCTAGGCGACAGTTGCAGAAGCACACGTCTAAACAGTGCGCTAATGTGGTCCAGGCGAATCTGCTCCTCTGGCGCTGCCCTTTGCTGCAGCAGAATGAGAGATGGCCGTGGTGCTGGAGCCGTGAGGGGAGGTTGGCCTCCGGGTGCCCAGCAGTTAATGTTTTCCAAGCGAAGCAATGCACAGCACCCAGCGGTACCAACAGACTGTCTGCCTTCAGCTCTGTTTCCAGTTCACCAAGAGAGCAACTGGGTGGGGCCAGGGTCTTCCCTAGCCACGTCTGCCCAGCCCACCCCAAGGCGGTTTGCAGGCATCGGGTCTGGCTTAGTCCTAAAAAGGACCAGAAACACAGCAGAGCCGAGTTCTGCTGCCAGAATCCACCTGCCATGGAGGAATGGTCCCTCTCCTCCTTCCCTGGACGTAGCCTTCTTGGGGTGGAAAAACAGGTCTATTAGGGGCTTTACAGTCACGCTGGCAGGCAGAAGATTTACATAGGCGAGAGTAGGGGGAACCAACTGAGGGAGTATTTCTTTTTTTCTTTTTTTTTTTTTTTGAGACAGAGTTTCGCTCTTGTTACCCAGGCTGGAGTGCAATGGCACAATCTCGGCTCACCGCAACCTCCGCCTCCTGGGTTCAGGCAATTCTCCTGCCTCAGCCTCCTGAGTAGCTGGGATTACAGGCACGCGCCACCATGCCCAGCTAATGTTTTTGTATTTTTAGTAGAGACGGGGTTTCATCATGTTGACCAGGATGGTCTCGATCTCTTAACCTTGTGATCCACCCGCCTCGGCCTCCCAAAGTGCTGGGATTACAGGCGTGAGCCACCGCGCCCGGCCTCAAGGGAGTATTTCTAAGGTGGAGAACACCCACCGAGCTGCTGGATTCAGAGATAATAGCAGCCAGGGAGAGCTGCATTTGCAGAGGGAGAGCAGCTGTGCTGTAGATAGAAGGGAAGCTCAGCATTGCTTTTTTCCCCTCCTGTTTTAAAATCCTCTGGCTGATTCCCTAGACATCAAGATAAAACACACCACCTTCTCAAGAGGTGGAGAAATGCATACAAACCTCATGCCCCGAAGCCCACTGCGGGCCTAGAGGGCGTCCTGCATGGCTGCTGCCATCGTCACCACCCTTCTGTGGGCCAGGCCAATCCTGACTGTCTCCCCTCCTCTTGCAGTCAAGTTCATCAGCTGTTTGGGGACCAAGGGGACGCAATATGAGACCAACAGCGTGGACTTCAAAGTTGGGGCGGACGGGACGGTCTTCGCCACCCGGGAGCTGCAGGTCCCCTCCGAGCAGGTGGCATTCACGGTGACCGCGTGGGACAGCCAGACAGCTGAGAGATGGGACGCCGTGGTGCGGCTGCTGGTGGCCCAGACCTCATCTTCACACTCTGGACACAAGGTAAGGTGTAACCGCTGGGTCTGCGCCCACGTCTAGATGTCCTAGTTCCTCCTGCGGGCCCTGGGCAGAGCCTCTGCCAGTCCTCCCTCAGGACGGAACATCGCCTCTTCCTCGGGCTGTGCCGCTTAATAAAGGCTGGTGCCAGCTGGGCACCCCTGCCCTCTGCACTGACCTGAGGCAGGGCCATTGTGGCAGGAAGGCCCCCTGGGCAGGCACACAGACCCCACACTCGGGTTAAGACCTGGTGCCACCCACGGGCTTGACGTTCTTCACATGTTTTGAACAAGGGACCCCACATTTTGATTTCCAACTGGGCACTGCAAATTCTGGAATCCCTCCTGCCTCCAAATTTTACAGCCCACCAGGCCCAGGACGTCTGAAGGCTGGATGGATGAGAAGCAAGGCAGAGACCATGTGGTTGGAAGGGAACCAGCCAGAGGGAGCTGGTGAGAGAGGAATTCAGAGAGCAGGGAGGGAGAGGGAGAGAGAAGAAGGGGGAGAGAGAGAGGAAGAGAGGCAGAGAGAGACAGGAAAGGAGAGGGAGGGAGAGGGAGAGAGGGAAAGAGAGCGGGAGTGGTGGGGGGAGAAAGAGAGCTTCACACAGACATAAAAGTCGTGCTATTCAGCATCCCAGCTGCCCCCTGACTCTGCCTCCTTCTAACCTGGCTGCCTGGCTCATCTGGGTGACAGGGAAGGGTAACCTCACCATCCCTTGTCCTGAGAGCTCCCTTTTACCCTGGCATATTCTGGCAATCCAGCACCAGGCTCCTGGATGGCCAATGTTCATTCCTGGCTCCCAGCTGTGAGGTTCCCAGGCCTGACAGAGAGTGGCCAGGTCCCGTCCCATGCCTGATGGGAGCGGCAGCAGGTCCCGTCCCGTGCCTGATGGGAGTGGCAGCAGGTCCCGTCCCGTGCCTGATGGGAGTGGCAGCAGGTCCCGTCCCGTGCCTGATGGGAGTGGCAGCAGGTCCCACTCGCCTTGAGCATCCCGGCACTGGATGCAGCCGCTGCACCGCCTTAAGATGTGGGGCTGCTAAAGAAGCCGAGCCGGGCGGCCTATAGGACAGCACTACAGAAGGCCAGCCTGTAGCCCAGCTGTTGCAGCTGCCTGCCTGAGGGGCCACAGTGGTGGAAAGAACGTGTGCCAACCCCTCCAAATCCCCCCAGTTAACACGAGGCCTCTGTGGGGTCATTTGAGTCATGGTGAGCAAAGGAAATCATTGCGCAAGGTGGCAGCCACTGGCGATCACGGGCAGTCCCTCGGAAAAGGACCTCGGGAAGTAAAGGGTTAAGCAGATTCCTTCCTGTGGGTCTCCCAGAACCTCACGACTCGTGCTGTGGAAGCCTCTGAGTGGGACACGGTCTGCAGGTTTCCTCAAACTGTCTGACCAAGGAACCCTTCCCCATGGAAAGCTTGAGAGGCAGGTGTGCCAAGGAACCCACTTTGGGAAGGGAGGGACCCGTGTCTTCTTCTGACTTGTTTCTCAGGCGGAAGTGGAGGTGGTTTAGGTAGAAAAGAGAAAGTGTGACTCTGGTGACCCGTCTTCACCGCCTGATGAGCTGACCCCGTGGGGAAAGGAGGTCATGTCTCCTGAGTGTGTTAAACCAGGCATTGGAACGTGCCTCCATCAGCAGCGGCCCCCACATCCTGATCCCCACCTGTGAGTCCTGAAGATTCTAGCACAGCATACGTCGCTTTCAGTCTTTCCTGAGTGATTATGACAAGCCACGCCCTGGTGAGCAAGGCAGGCCCTTGGGCAGCCTGGGGACCTTGTCCCATCATGCCTGTGACTTCCAAATTGTCCCCACATCCCCGATTGTGATGTAGAAACTTGGCACCTTGTGGGCTGACAGCAGAGCCCCGAGAGCCGGTCGGAGGCCTCAGATAAAGACTCTAATTGAGAATCTAATGACACCTGTTCTTGGGCATGTTCGTGAAGCGATTTCAGAGGCAGTGAATCCCCTGATCCTCTGTGGAAGGTGCAGGCCCAGCTGTGGTTACAACTAGAGGGTTCCTTGTGGGAGTGGGCCTTGACCCACGCCACGCTGGCCCAGGAAGCACCCAACTAGCAGAGCAGGGGACACTGAATTCCTACCGAGGCTCAGAGCACTCAGGGGAGCCTGGCTGTGGGGTCGCTGTGGGATGCAGCTCCACGTCCCCAAGACCCTGTTGCAGGGTGCGGTGGGCTGTCCCCGCAGCCCAGGAGACCCTGCCCTCCGGTGCTTGCGTTGCCAACGGTTCCTCTCCTGATTTTCTAGGACCCACTCAGACCTCGCCCCAAGTGGCGTAAGCTCGTCTACCCCTCTCCACACCCTGGGAGTGGGTACCGTCCTTACCCCCCATCACACATGAGGGTGCTGAGTGTGTGACCTCAGCCCCGTGCTGCCTGGGAGATGTGTGGGAAGGAGTGGAAAGGACTTTGCAGGTGTGGCGGAGCCCAGCCTTGCGCGAGAGCAGCCCCCGGGGTGTGGGCGCACGGCGAGGCTTCTGCGACTCACTGGCTGGGCGTTTTGGGAGCATTCACACCACTCTGAGGCAAGCTGTTCTGGAGGATGGGAGAGTAATGCTACCCGCGTCCGAGCCGAGGGGTGTTGGTATTTTGTGAGGCTATGGAGGTCCGGAGGTGGAAGATAGCGGTGTGTATGGTTGTCGTTGCCTGGTCCCAGCCTTCACAGTCCTGGGCTTATCACAGCTGCTGGGCCTCGCCGGGTGGCATGGGGGTGGGAGGAGGCAGGCAGGGAGTGGGGTCACTGTGGAACGCAGCGCCTGGTTGATGCGTCCTTACAGAGCATGATGCAAGCCTCCAGCTAATGCCACCCTATAGATGATCAAGGCGACCCCGGATAGCTGGTGTCCTGGCCGCCTGCCAGAAGCAACTGTGTATCTTCCCCAGGGTGAGCTGTCACCCAGGCCCCGAGCTGTGTCCACCATCTTTCATTTTCAACATCCAGCACTCACCCTCACGACTGGGCAGGGGAGAAGGGACAAGGCCATAGAAAGAGCGATCAAAAGAAGTGGCCGATACGAAAGGACCCCCAGAGGCTGCAGAGCATGTGGCGATCAGACAGATTCTACAGTGACTACGCTTACTCTGTTTAAGCAACTTAAATAGAAGACTCTGAGGGAGAATTGGGAGGTATAAACAGAATTATTAATAGTTGGGCAATTGGGAACTGAAAATCAAACCCAACAAAATTAAGAGCTCAGTGGATAGCTAGATCTGCAGATGTGACATGGCTGAAGAAAGAATTAGCGAAGCAAAAAAATATCAAAAACATTCATGCTGTAAAGCATGAAGAGATACACAGAAGGAAAATACGGAAGCAAGCCCGAGAGGTGCTGGAGAAGTGGTGAAGAGGTCTAACATGTATGTTTGCAATATGAGGGGAAGAGGGAAAAGGGAGCAGAAGTAATATTTGAAAATACAGTGGAAGAAAATATTCCAAAACTGAAAATATTCATCTAGGCATGGATTCAAGAAGCCCTATGAACTCCATGCAGGAGAAACATTTAAAAACACACACGCACACAGTACCTAGATGCTTTATGGTAAAATAGTTAGAACCCAAAGACAAAGAGAAAATCTCGGAAGCAAACAGAGAGAAAAGGCAGACTTCCTTTGAGAGGGCAATGACTAGATGGGGCTGACTGCTCAGCAGGAGCTGGGGGGACTGGAAGACAATGGGATGAGCCCTTAAAAGTGCTAACGGAAAATAGAATTCTGTCATCCAGTAAAGCCGTCTTTCAAGAAGTAAAGCTGAAAGAATCTGTCCCAAGTCGTGTTCTTCAAACAAAAATAAAACAAGTTGAGGTGAGCGCTCAGAAATGGAGGGAAGAATGAGGAACTGGGAAAAGGCCAGGTACACGGAGAAGTAGAAATGACTAAGAGCAGTGTAGTGGTTCTTGGGGTGTAAATAGATAACCCGAATTCACAGCAAAAACTGTGTAAGTGTTGAGAAGGGATACATGGAATCAAAGAGGTAGAGGTTGTTTGTATTTTTATCAAAAATGATGGAAATTAATGTTACTCATAAACAAGACAAAGACACTTGTTATAAAGTCCTTAGAAAATCTTATGACTAAGAGTCCTCCGAGTCTATAAGTAGTAACATAATACATGGAAAAAATAGAATGATAAAATGTATCAAGACAAAAATGCAAAAAAAAAAAAAAGAGAGAGAGAAATGAAAACAGAATAGATGGCCTATACATTTCTCTTTGAGCAAGATGGCAGATTTGCAAATACATTTGTAATTATAATAAATGAAAATGTATTTGGTATAATTTTAAAAACCAAATTGATGGATAAAGATGAATCCATCTATATGCAGTTTTTAAAAGATACATCTGAAAGGTATAAAAGGCTAAAGGTTAGCAGCAAAATCCTGGAGAAATAAATACCATGCAAGTATCAACCAAAAGGCAGTTGGGGGACTCAGGTAATATCAGACGAATAGAATCAGAGGAAAAAGCTTTCTGTGCAAGGAGGAGCACTTCATAGATAAACAATTCAATTCACCAAGAAGATGCAGGAATCCTAAATTTGCATGCATTTAATAATATGACTTCAAAATATTTATGCCAAAATTGACAGAAATAAAAGGAGAAATAAATATGCAATCAGTGGAGAATTTTAACAAACATTTCTTAGCCAGTAATAGAAAAAGCAGAAAATATCAGTAAAGAAATAGATTAGAATCACATAATTAATAGATCTGACTTTAATGAGACATATAAAAGCACAGAAGCCAAACACTGCTAAATACACATGATTTTTAAGTATAGACAGAACATTTACAAACATTCACCAAGCAAGTCCCAACACACTTCATTGCCTTTGAGCAATTCTCAACATACTTCAAAGGTTTAAAATCAAAACATAGTTTGTTTTCTTAACTCGGAGCAATTAGGCTAGAAATCAATAACAAAGAACATAACTGGAAAATCCCCATCGATTTGGAAGTTAAGTAAAAGCCTTCTCATTAACGCTTGGGCAGAA